ACAGGAACCTCTCCCCTGTTATTTGTATAAAGTTGTACAGGAACCTCTCCCCTGTTATGTGTATAAAGTTGTACTGGAACATCTACTGTTATGTGTATAAAGTTGTACAGGAACCTCTCCCCTGTTATTTGTATAAAGTTGTACAGGAACCTCTCCCCTGTTATGTGTATAAAGTTGTACTGGAACATCTACTGTTATTTGTGTAAAGTTGTACAGGAACCTCTCCCCTGTTATGTGTATAAAGTTGTACTGGAACATCTACTGTTATTTGTATAAAGTTGCACAGGAACATCTCTACTGTTATTTGTATAAAGTTGTACAGGAACATCTCCCCTGTTATTTGTATAAAGTTGTACTGGAACATTTCCATGTTTTGTGTACAGTAATGGCATAGCTGCTTGACTGTGAATTCATGTGTTACTTTAAGTGTTGCTTCGTATTATAGTTCATGTGTTACTTTAAGTGTTGCTTCGTATTATAGTTCATGTGTTACTTTAAGTGTTGCTGCGTATTATAGTTCATGTGTTACTTTAAGTGTTGCTGAGTATTATAGTTCATGTGTTACTTTAAGTGTTGCTTCGTATTATAGTTCATGTGTTACTTTAAGTGTTGCTGCGTATTATAGTTCATGTGTTACTTTAAGTGTTGCTGCGTATTATAGTTCATGTGTTACTTTAAGTGTTGCTGCGTATTATAGTTCATGTGTTACTTTAAGTGTTGCTGCATATTATTATTCATGTCTGTTTTTATTTTTATAGAGAAATGTAATTATTATATTGTGAAGTCTCCACTCAAACAGTAAGTGATGTTTACAATGAAAACAATAGAACATCCCTGTGTTTTCACCGTGTTAAGGTGTCTTCACCACATTAATGTGTTTGATGTTTACAATGAAAACAATAGAACATCCCTGTGTTTTCACCATGTTAAGGTGTCTTCACCACATTAATGTGTTTGATGTTTACAATGAAAACAATAGAACATCCCTGTGTTTTCACCATGTTAAGGTGTTTTCACCACCTAAATTACAAGTGATGGTTATTTTTATAAAATAGTAACATCACTTTATTTAACCATATTAACGTGTTTTATGTTTACAATGTAAACAGTAATGATACATTTTGTTTTAGTAGTGGTGTCACATTGATGTGTTAAAAATACAGTTTTATTGGAAATTTTCTAATATTTGTATTTATTACTTTCGTTATAGTACCTCTCCAAGATTGGACAGATATTTTTTGGTTTACCTGCACCACCAAAACAACAAGGGTTTTTGAGTAAGTTAAAAATAAAATTGGTTATCAGAACAACAGCAGTGTTAAATGTTTTTGGTTGTAGACTTTGGTTAGTGTGTAGGAATTGAGAAGTTTATCGCTAGAAGTTGCTTCTAGTATCTCTGCTTTTTCTGTATCTTTGTGCATGTAACACTTATCCTAGATTGGCTTCATGCTCAATTTTTGGTGGTAGCAAGTTGTCTGTAGTGAACAACTTGTGATTACTTAGAAAAATCTCAGCCCTTCCTATTGGTTTCGATGTTGTTTAGGAACACACGGCAAAACTACCAATTATGTATAAGGATAGACAAAAAAAATGGCCTTTTAAGAACGGACATAAAGGTGAAACAAATCTCCTAAAGGCCGTCATTTCTTACTGAAAGGTGGAACAGTTGATAATAAATATATCAAACTTCTTAAGTAAGGAAAAGCAGAATGTGTTTAATAATACAAAATCAGTTGTTTGAATGATGTTAACATTAAATATCTCTATCAGTTTGATTATGTGTAGATTGTACAATAAACCATCAGTATATTAAAATTGTTAAGACATGGTGTCTGAAAGGAGGGTTAGCATTAGTACGTTTTATAACATTAATGTGGCACCTTCGTAAGGTGTCATTAAAAAGGAAGAAGGCAAGATATAAATTTATTCTACAACCAGAAAGAATTCATTTCCTGAGGAGTTTCAATTTCTAGTCTCTTCATTTTTTTTCTGTAAATTTTTAACTAGTGGCTTTCTCATAAAAAAGGAAACAATTCAACTATCTCTACTTAATTTGTTCCCAGTTATGATAAAATATGACTTCAGAACGGGATCTGCACAAAGAACCCACTGAGTTTTCGAAGAGTACAAGTCATTCCTGTAACATATTTTCATGTAAAATATTTAATAATAATTGTCACAAATACAATTTGACTGATTCCTAATGGGAACAACTTATAATCTTGGATAACTCAGTTGTAGATTACTAGTCTTGTGAGCCACGTTTGAAAAGTGACTCTAGGACTTGAACGTGTCTTGTCGAACCAGTAAGTGAAAAGTGACTCTAGGACTTGAACGTGTCTTGTCGAACCAGTAAGTGAAAAGTGACTCTAGGACTTGCTTACTGGTTCGACAAGACACGTTCAAGTCCTAGAGTCACTTTTCACTTACTGGTTCGTATAAGAGATTTTTCTATAAATACTTAGAATTATTCTGTTGAAAATGAGGCGCTTATAATATTTAAAATAACTGTAAAACAACAACAAAGTAATGTTGAACTTGAATATGTTGTTACTATGAAGATGACATGCTGAAGCTACTGTTTAGATCTTAATTGATTTGAATGTTTTACCCTTTTATTTAGGTTTACAGGCCTAAACTATTTGTTACAAAATGTTAACAACATCAATAATATATTAGTATACATAAACACAATTATCCAAATGATGAAGTAATCAGATGTACAATTAATATCCATTTAGAATAATTGAACTTGATGTTCTCAGGTTTGTTAGGCCAGCCAGTAAGAGTCCTTATTTTCCTCAAAAATAATTCAGCCGTTTATAAATATTTTGCTTCAGTTGACCAGTTCTTATTTTGAACAGATAATTTAGTCCAATCTCTGCTGGGAGGTCTAGAAGAGGAGAATATGAGTGAAGATAGTGACATCACTATGCCTGGACCATCTTGCTTACCAAAGCACAGCATACAGTCTGAAGATTTGGACTGACTAGTTCTAAATTAATTAAATCACCTGTATTCCTTTGTTTTTTTTTTCTATTTTGAAAGATAACATCATCAGTATGGCAACTGCTCAGAAAATTTATTCCTCTTTGTTTATGTAAAGACTGGTATTAATTTAAATCAAAGTTTAAAAAATTGTTGAATGAATGGTTAGAATAATTGATCAAGTGTTTCCTGAGACTTGTAAGAGAGCCTCAATAAATGTAAATACTTGTACATCTAGCAGAGGTTTGATAGATCTAGAGTTTTAAACACCTAGCCAGTGTAACGTTCACGTAATTTTAACTTTCTAGTTTTCTTTTAAAAATTTATAGCTGAAGAAAAAGTTGTCCTTTCAAGTAAAAGACCTTTTTACGTTGACTGGTAAAAAAATATGAAATCTTAGTTTAACGTTATGAAAAGAAACTTATTTTTGGTTTACATATAATACTGGAAGTAAACTATAGATTTTTTTTTTAACATTGTAAAGTATTTATTTTTGGGAGCCCAGTGTATTTTAAAAAAAAATGGGACATCTGTTATTGTATGTCAAAAATGAAAGAAAATAACAGCTTTAAAATGAACTATAATGTATCTTAAAATTACAAGGACATTTGCTAGGTATAGCTTAGAAATCAGGGCTGTGAATTATGAAATGGTACTGGATATAGTGTAAGAAGGGTGGTTTATATAATATTGTATATGTTCATTAAAAAGACATTTCAAGGTGCTTCTTTATGTTGTAGGTAAGTCTTGGTTAAGTTATAATTGTTTACTAAATGCAATACTGCTGGTTTAAACATAAAATTCCTATATTATATTTAGTGTGATGTTGAAGTTAAAGGCTTACTTCATTCATGAACTTGTCACAAGGCAGACTGCCTGGGAGCTTGTAAAACAATGTTTGATTTACATCTACTAAATTAACTCTTTTTTTTGATTTATTAAATTTCTTCAATTCTTCAGCAGAAAATAAACTAAACATTTAGGTTTGTAAGTTGATTAGAAACATATGTGATTTATTGTAAATTTTTAACTGTCTACCAATAAAAATAAACTTTATAATAGCACTGTTTTGTTACTTATCCAATAAGTACATTCTGATTATGAAGTGTCTAATATTTACTAGTAGCTATTAAAACTATCACTACTGCAAAAAAGTACAAAATGGAAAATAAAAGTCTTGGTACATTTGAGAAGTTTAGAAAATAAGTTGTTTTATTCTTTTCACCTTTAAACGTACACGAATAAAATTCTTGAAAAATTATATCACAGCAATATGACTGTGGTGTTTATACACAGCAATATGTAATTCATGTTTAATACTGAGGATAAGATCACGTGAAAATCCTAGAGAAGCACAAAAAAATCAATCGTCATAGTGCCCTCAACACTCTTTACTGCCTTTGTAAACCTTCCTAATCTCCAATCCATTTTCTGAGCCAAATCAATCTGCCTACAACTCAATCTTTTTTTGTCCTTTGATTATATTGATTAGAATCTCTGCTAACCCCATTTAATTTAATTACATGTGCTCAACATAACTCATCTTCCATTTCCTACACGTGTTCAGTGGTTGTCTTTTTCAATACCCTCATTATTTTACTTTCTATGTTATAACGTAGCTGATCGTCACTTGTCTGTAATACTACATTACAAATATTTCCACTGTCCTTTTGTTCCAAGAGATGGCACACCTTGTAGAGTAGGACTGATCATTTTTGTAGTCTATAACGTAGCTGATCGTCACTTGTCTGTAATACTACATTACAAATATTTCCACTGTCCTTTTGTTCCAAGAGATGGCACACCTTGTACAGTAGGACTGATCATTTTTGTAGTCTATAACGTAGCTGATCGTCACTTGTC